ATTTTCAGCCAGCGCCTGTGGCCCATATGTTTTAAGTGGTAAATAGAGTGTCACAGGATCTATGAAATCCTTTCAGATTAACCTTTGAAAGCTGGAACCTGTGGAATATGGAAACCTATCAGAGAAAGGAAAAAAATACTTCCCCTTAAACAGAGAGATGACAAGGTGATAAGATTGCACTTTTTGAAGTTGGGAAACTTGTGAGAACTGGAATAACAAGACAGTCTTGTTGAGTTCCAGCTCTAACAGGATTCATTGTAGGCCAAAACTTTTCTTCGAGAAGTTTTTCTGGGATGAATTCTAGGTATTTTAACAGATTTTTGAAGAGTTTATTATATAAAAAATCTAGAAGCCACTGATCTAATTCAGTCCTCTTGTGTACAGCTTAGGACAAAGGCCTTGAGGTGAGAAAGAATTGCTCTGAGTCACTAGACTGTACAGTCATATTCTGCTCTCTTGAGTGTCTTTGGTGGTTTTTCCATCATTGTAGCACCTGGGCTCGAATTTATCCCTAAATATTTCATATTCTTTACATTATTTTAAAATATGTTAATTCTGATTTTTCATCCAGGACGTCTGATAGCGTAGTCCTAGGGAGTTAGGTGCTAACCCAAAGGCTACACTTCGCTAGTGGTTCTGGTCCACCAGTAGATCATGGGAGAAAGATGGATGATCTCCTTTGATGGCAGTAACAGCCTCAGAGACTTTCTGGAGGCTCAGCTGTAAGTTGGCTTTGAATTAACAGCAATGAGTTTAAGAGTTTTCATTTTTGACTGTTCATTGCTATAATATATATTCAGGCAGCTGTAGTGGCCAGGTCAGTAAAGAGTTGTGCTGCTAATCTGGGAATTGGAATCTACCAGCCAATCTGAGGGGGAAAGGTGCCCACCTGAGTTTTCTCAGATGATTTTATAACATTGATAACCAGCTGGAAGGACTGCTGTGAATTGGAATTGCCTTGACAGTAATGAGAGAAAGCATAAAGTAGTACAATTTTTTTATGTTGTTTAGTTGTTACATACCATCGAATTGTAACTGTCTCATAGCCCTGTTGGATATGAGAGGCAGTAAGTTACACAGGAAGAGATTGTCCACCTTTTCCCTTGCAGAGCAGCTGCTGAGTTCGAACCTAGTGCCTTTGAATTGATAGTGCAACTCTTTACCACTAAGCCACCAGAACTTTTGAGAGGGTGATATATTGATCTTATATCTTACCAATTTGATAAACTCTGACTAGTCTAGAAAATTTTTCTTATTAATATTTCATTGTTTTAAGTGGAAGTTTACACAGCAAATTAAGATTCCTACTCAGCATTTCATATACAAATTGTGGCATGTCATTAATTGTAGTCCCACGCAGTGTGTCAGCATTCTTAACATTTCGACCATGTCTGCCCTTTTCCCATCTATCTAGTTGCTTGCTCTTCTTTCCTTTCCATTTTTCATTTGGGGTAAATGTTTGGTCTTGTGTGTTTGAAAGAACATTGTTTGTTTGTTTGTTTCAAGGAATATAGATCTTCGTAGTTGTTGTTATTGTTTATTTTATGTGCATATCTACTGTTTGACTGAAAGCTAAATTCTGGGGCTTGGTTTCAGTTAGGTACTCCCTGAACAGAATGGTTGGTGGTGATAGACTCCCACCTAGTTCCAGGCTCTGGCTGACAAGAGAGCAATAGTTCTGTCTTGGATAACTGCTTGCAAGCTTTTAAGACACCAGACCTACTTACTAAACTAAGTTCTAAAACATTTTCATTGACCAAGTTATGCTTCTTGTGTACTTTCAAGTCAGAACCAACCCATAGCTGATCCTCCATCAGGTTTTCACAGGCAGTTAATTGCATGGGAGGAGATTGCTAGTTGACCTAATGGTCTCATGAACTGCATTCCTGGGCCTTTAAACCCAGTAAATCAATCCCATAAACTGTTTGGAAATGCCTGGGAAAGTGTCACTGTGATCACCTATCTGCTTTTTTGAATATACATACAATTTATATTAAAAATCTATAAAGTGGACATACTAAGTATACATACAGCACATAAAAACTTGTATTTATGTTTGCCTACAAAATATAGTTATGTACTCCCATATCCTTTCCCCTACCTATTAAGCATAAATGTCTACTTCCATCTCACATACTTTGGCCATGTATCCAAGAGGGGCCAATGTTTGGAGAAAAATACCATTCTTGGAAAGGTGGAAGGACAGCAGAGGAGAGGAAGACCCTAGATAAGATGGATTAACACAATAACAGTGATAATGAGGGCAGGTGTATTTGAGTCAGTGAGATTGGCTCAGGGTAGAACAGGGTTCAGAGCTTTTGTGCTCAGGATTGTTATGAATCTTAAGTTTATTTGAAGGCATATAACAATAAATAATGTACTCAATCATATGTGGGTTTTTTCCTTAATTTTGCTGTTGCAAGATTATTTGTGTATTTATCATTGTTGTTAGGTTCTGTTGAGTCACCTATGACTGACAGTAGTAACCCTGTGAACAACACATCTGCACCAAGTGTTATATCCTGCACCATTCTCATCATCCGTGATATACTTGAGTCCATTGTTACTGTATCAGTCTGTCTTGTTGGAGGTCTTCCTCTCTTTTGCTGATTGTCCACCTTTCACAACATAATATCCTTTTCCAAGAATTGGCCCCTCTTAACAACATGCCCAAAACATGTGAGACAAACTTTTACCATCCTTATCTAAGGAGTTTCTTGGTTGCATTTCTTACGAGACAGACTTGTTTATTCTTTTTGTAGCCCATGTTCTGTAATTTTCACTATTACAACTCAGAGACATTGATTCTTCTGTCATCATTCACTGTCCCAACTTTCAGAGTTTCCCAATACAATTTATCTTTTCATTTTTTGACCAAGGGTGTTGATTAAATACAACTTAAACAAGATGAAATTGTTGTCAGTTTTAGTCTTTACCAACAGAGTTACCCATGGTGCACAGATTTCAGTTGAGCTCCCAGATTAAGACAGACTAGGAAAGAATAAAGATGAGCAGTTCCCTGCCATATGATTTTCAGCCTCAGAAACCCAATGAATGGAGAGTTAGTTCCAACTCAAAGACCATGATAGTGGCTCATAGTGAGTCTTGGTGAAACATTGACTTTACATGCTAAACTGCTAACTAAAGGGTCAGGGGTTTGAATATACCAGCCACTCCACAGGACAAAGTTGCGCAGTCTCCCTTGTTAAGATGTACAGCCTTGGAAAGCGGATGGAGGGCCACCATAAATTGGAGTTGAGGTGAAGGCCAGTGGGTTCTGCTTAAAGACTAATGAGGGAGCCCTGATGCTCAGTGGTCAAAAAACCCCCAAAACACCCCCGTTAATAAAAAAGTTGGCAATTCAAACCCACCAGGTGCTCTCTGGGAAAAAGATGTAGCAGTCTACTTTGGTAAAGATTTATAGTCTTGGAAATCCCCTGGGGCAGTACTGTTCTGTATGGTCACTGTAAATTGGAATCAACTCACTACCAGAGAGTTGGGGTTTAGAATGGTTAAACTGATAGTAAGGGAGCTGTGGTGGCTGAGTGGATAAGGAGTTGCACTTGCCAACCCAAAGGCAGTCGGTTCAAATCTCCCAGCTGCTGCAATGAAGAAAAATGGACAGTCTCCCAATGCAATTCACAGCCTCTGAAAACCTACTGCGGGTTCGGCTATTGGTTTTTACTCAGTGGCAATGAGTTGGAGTATTTTGGGTTTTTTTGAGTTGAAGTATTTTGAATGCTGCTAAGAACCTCTTGATTACATAATCTGTTGTGCCTAGTGCTGCTAACCAAAAAGTCTGAGCATCTCTCTGGATATTCAGATACACCAGTGGCTGTGAAGGAGTGTCCTATTAAGATGAGCAGTCTCCTATTAAAATTTACAGTATCTTAAATCTAGCCAACAGTCAGTTTGAGTTAATTTACTTTAATGAGTTGGGTTGAATTAATACTCATTGTGTAGTTGTTGGAATCCTAACCAGAAGGTCAGCACTTCAAGTTTACTTGGAAATCTGGGTAAAAGATGGACAGCCTCCTCCTACATCCTGGGAAACCAGATAGAGGTTCACTTCCCACTGAGGAAACTGGGTTTAGTGGGCTTTTAATGCTTATGAGCACCTCTTAATAGAAACA